GGCAATGCCTTTTTTATATGTTATGGATACAAAATGTATCACTACAGCTTTAGCGCAACTCACTCTCACTTGGGTTACCACTTATACCATAAGATTTTCGTACATTTTGTTAAGTTTATAAATACGTAGTCAAAGCCAGGTCGTGATATAATCTTTCATGTCAGCAAAATCGGGGAAAAACCATAATCAAATCGGATTAAAATTTTGAGGATTAAAATCGGCCCTTAAAAATTTTATAACAATTAGCTAGGAAGGAGAATACGTTTATGGGATAACGTGGTTATCTCCAGCCTACGTGGCAGGCTTTCGAAAGGTTTACGTGCGAGACCGCACGCGAGGGAGAAAGGAGGAGAGGAACGCGTTCCCCTTCCTCCTTCCTCAAGCGCCAGTCGGGCTTCTCACGGGCCCAAAATTCTCTTTCCCTTCCCTTTGAAATGCCTGCAACGAGGCTAGTCATTATCTCTCAAACAATTGAGAAAAAATGGAACGTTTTACTCATAACACTGAACATTGAGATTATTGTAAACCCTTCCGAATTCTTTAATAGCATCCTCGTTATAATTATTTTATGCCATTGCAGTTTGCTGTAATATAATTGTCATGATTAAAGTTTTCAATAAAAGTCTGTGTCTTATAGTATGAACAAATCTTGTCCATTATATTTCCGATCCTAACAAATAAGATTGAGCTCCTTATGTCCGCTCCTTAACAGAGAAATTCCTGTACAGTCTCACAATATCAATCTATCTAATTATGCAGCTATCTGCAGCCTTGCCTGGTTGAGTGCGTTAACTTTATGAAGAAAAAAGTGCCTTATGTTCCCAGAGCTTTTTGACTTAGAAAATGGGAGTGGGGTGGGCGAGGGTGGGGGGAGCTTCACAATCATTTGGATGACTAAATCATCAGTGCTGTATGGGTATACCCGGTAGGAAATATCGTATGGGTATAAACGGTAGGGATACCGTATGGGTATGCCCGGTAGGGGATACCCATATAGCAAGTTAAGTAAGACCGGACCATCGCAATACGAACTTTCGTCAAGAGTACAGTTTCTTTTCTTTAGCAAGGCTTTTATTGCTTTGAACGTTTTTATTTAAAAAGTTCACTACTTTATCCTTTTCTGTGTTTTTTATGGTTTCCTTGAGAATACTGACACTTTTATCTCAGCCTGATAGCAACATCGCCCTTGGAGAGTACTCTTTTCTGTCATTCTAACCGAAAAAAAAAAAAAAAAAAAACCTTTACTCTATGTTTCAATCGAAGGTGAAATAACAAAAGGTTAGAATAGCCAAAAAAAAAAAAAAAAAAAAAAAAAAAAAAAAAACCTTGCACTTATGATAAAAGAGTACCAACGTATAACAAATGTCGACCCTGCATGCGCACCGACCTGTAGGAACTCTTTTGATTTTATATTTGGGTCGGAGGATACTTCAGATTATGATTCAATAATTGTGTGTGCTACAGTAAATAGCCGCCTTTTCCCGGTAAGTTTACTCTTAAAATAAAGAAAGAAGCTTAGTCTGGGCATCAAACCACTTGACTTCTTAAAACCCAAGTCTTCTATCAGTATAAACATACACGCACTACACGTATTACACTCTTGTTGACCATGCATGCAAACCACCTTTTCAATAACAAGAAGGCGTAAGTATCACCGAATTTCGTTAGTCTGTGACCTACCCCAAAAGTATAGCTTAAATATCTGTAATAAGTAAATTGGACAATTCTAAATAGACAGAAAAAAAAAAAAAACAGTTTGCCCAAGTCATGTGCTTGATGACGTCGTCACCTTTCAGCCCGAGAGCTAATAAATTAAATTTTCCGATAGCATTACCGTTTGGTACCGCTATACTTTAAGACGCCATTCATTCTTGTTTCGCAGTGAATAGGTAGACAACGGTCTTCCCAAGAGGCGTTAAATAATGGTGGCGATAAACCGCGATGCAATAAGCGTCCAGGATATCTAGCGCTATGCACTGACCCTAAAGAGGGGTAGATGTTTAGCCATTATTCAGTGGCTAGCTAGCAATTTTCGCGTGTTGTGATTGGCTCCCGTAACTTCCGAGGGTCTTCTATTCAAGGCGGCTTAAAATCGGAATAGAAAAGGAGCTTTGAAATACGCTATAGCGGTGCTGATCAAAATACGAGTTGCATTTAATAAATGTAATTCATAGGCGGGGGACGGCTAACTGCTGCCTGAGGGGGGGGGGGGGCTTATATACGCGGACACTTTTAATAGTATGTATTTTTCGTCTACGGGTAGGTGGGTAAATAACTGGGGCTTTATAAGTGGTGGGGTGGGGGGGGGGGGCTTATAATCGACTATTACGGTATGTGAGGAATTAGCCAGGCTCCTTCAGTTAATTACAGACCGGGTTCAAGTATTATAAAAAGAGACCTCGTCTTTGGGCATTCACATTGCACGACTTAGTTGAGTAGAAAATAGGAATGGAATATATAAAACAGTTTTAATCCATTGTTTTTTTGTCGTTGTTTTGTTTTGCTATTTAAAGGCTGGTTTACACGCAGCGATTGTATGCCCGATTTCAAAGAAAGTATATGGTGATGCAACAGATTAGTTTAATTGTAATCTATCCTGTTTTTGGCCAGTTTATATCTTTTGTAGCGTGAAAACTACCCTCCAGTCCTCCAGTAACAAGTGCAAGTTTTTTTCAACATGGAAAACTTTCCCCGTCGTTAAAAAGGTAAAGGGAAGCTGCATTATGTTACGAGCCTCAATATGTTATAAGCTCCATTATCTTACTTGCTACTTGACTCACAATTTTGTTATCGCGCGAAAATGAAGCTGACTCTAACATAAATGTCTCGCAACAGTATTTTGCAGCAGGTTTTTTTTTTTTTTTTCAAAAAGTAGGTAGACGTAGACGATGCTCTCTCTTTTTGTTTGACTCTAGATCGTACTAGCCGGGGAGGCTACTCAACACAGTTTTATATGGGGAGGCTTCGCCCCGAGCCGTGACTAACCCCTTAACCCTTTGATGTGCCATTTTTGACAGAAAACATACCCTTTTGTATACCTTCTATTGGCCGTATTCACACTCGGAGACGGATTATCCGCCTGAGACGGGTTATCCGGTGGAAATTTCGCGTCAGATAGATAATCGACTTATATGATTGCACTAACAAGCTCTACTCTCTAGCTATGGGGCCATATCATGGCTATAAACGAAAAAAAAGAAAAAAAAAATCCGAATATAAGCCCCACCGGGTATAATCTTGCTTGAACTGAATTTAATTCGATTTATAATGACATTTTGAAGCCTTAATTAACGACCGGTAAATGCAAAAACTTTTATTTAGATCAGCACTGCTACAGCTTATTTCGAAGCGCTTTTTCTATGCCATCAATAAGCCCCCTCGGATATTAAAAGCCCGTCCGATTATACACTTTCCTAAAACCCCTTAAAAAGATGTACATGTATAATCCTAAGGCTTATAGGTCCACATATCTAGTACTAACAGAATGTCTTTTGTCATTTTCATGTAGCGTTTAATTTGATTCAATGAACTTTAACTTTAATTTTAACTTTGGAGGCTGTAACATTGCCAAATTTGTAAGTGATACGTCTTAAGTGTGCAAAGATATAGCTTCGCAAAGCTGCGAAAATTTACAGACGTTTGTACGTGGAGGGTGGGGAGGGGGGAGAGCAAACGCCTGTAAAATTTCCCGACTTTAAGGCTTTGAGGAGCTATATCTTCGTTGGCTTTCTAAACGTCAGTCACTGTCAACAACAACAGTCCTATTCAGGACTACGTTCACCCGGACGATCAAACTCGACTTACTTTTGAAATGACTCCTGGGTTCAAACTCTTTCACAATTTATGTTCTGTCATTAATTTTTGGAATGTTCATCTTTTGACCCTGCTTCAGTACCCTAAAGCAGGCTTATAAACAGAGAATAAAAATATACAAAAATATTGCCATAAAAGGAAAAACAAACAAGCAAAAACAAACAAACATACAATATACCCGAACAGAGGATTTACTTAAAATATTTGCTATAAAATGAATGAGCACGTAGCACTGATTTCAGAAAACGCTGTGTTCTCGTTCAACTCTCTCCGCCATGGTTCAGTATTTCGCTGTTTTCCTGATTCTCTCTTTTTTGGCGGCTCGCTGGGAACAACCACCTCACCTCAGCAACAAAACATCGCAAAGTTAAAAGACTTATGCCAGGTAAGAAATGCATAAAGATATAGAAAGGAGTACTGCGCCGTAGATTAGGTACACCAAGAAACCATTTTAATACTCTCACGTCGTTATGATCATTTACTAAAAAGTACTGCCTGTTAAAAGCGTATGGCGATGTATTTAAAAGTCCTCGCTTCAACATGATCTTTTCTCGAAAATCTGAAGCCTGTCCATTGTTAACTGTTAATTTTCTCTGTTTCCATCCACGTCCATTCGAAGCGAGATAACGCTTTAAATAGGATTATGATCAGTGTCCAAGGTCCATTTCGTGCCTCGAAAACAAAAGAAGACGGCTGGCGGGTACAGACTTGTTCATTTTGGTGTGGAATCATTGTTTGCGAGGAAGCTATGGGCGTGTATGAACGAAATTATCCTTTCATTTCCCAAACTGGGAGAATTAATCTAAGTAATGATGACATGCATAATTTCTTAGAGACAAGGTCCTAAAATTGGTATGGATTTTAGAGGCCAAGTCTGAAAACGGGTGTAAAAAATGACGTGTTTTGGTCTGAAATAGATTCAGGGTTTGGAGAACTGGGCGGCACATCCCCACCAAGAATTTTCAGGAGTACAAATACTCCCCGCCCCGTCCCGAGTTATTTAAGATCCCGTGTCGTCTTCGTCTCTGCTAATTACAAGTCATGTTTACTTTCAGCGATCTCTGATGGGTTTCCCTGGTATTCCAGGATCAAATGGTATACCGGGAATGCCGGGCGTCCCGGGGCCACACGGACCCCAGGGAAGAGAAGGTGTAAAAGGACAAATTGGTGATAAGGGATCGCAAGGAATGCCAGGTCCAAGAGGAGACAGAGGGCGTGTAGGACCCCCTGGGAAGAGTGGACCCCAAGGAATTAAGGGAATGAAAGGTCAACAGGGACTTCTGGGAATGAAAGGAGAGCGAGGCATTGCGGGAATGAAAGGAGAGCAAGGAGCTGTGGGAGTGAAAGGAGAGCGAGGCATTGTGGGAATGAAAGGAGAGCGCGGAGCTGTAGGAATGAAGGGACAGCAAGGCATTGCGGGAATGAAAGGAACAAAAGGAGACAAAGGAGAGAAAGGAGAAAGCACCAAAGCAAGTCAAGCAAGTGTAGTACCACAAACCAACTGGAAACAATGTGTGTGGAAATCAGCTAGCAATACTGATAACGGAAAGATTAAGGTAAATAGAATAAGAATCATAACACACTCCTAAGAAAATTCATTCCTTTTAAGATTAAAATGTTTCAAAGAAGAACATCTCCCCTCTCACTCACCGTTTGCCAACACATTACATAAATAACTAAGTTAAATTTTCCTCTACTTTGTTTTTTTTTTAACAAAAAAAAAAATCATGCCTGATAAAATGATTCCTGGCCATATGGAAAGAGACAAAACATTGAAGCTATTACTAACAAGTTTTTAAAAATTAGGAAGTAATCTTGACTGGAGTTGTTAGTATCAATCATTACACACGGTTGCTCGCCTTACTACAATATGTTTGATTTGTTTGATTTTATTCCAGGACTGTGCGTTTAACAAACTGCAGTCTAATTCAGCACTCAAAGTCTCATTCCAGGGAAACATGAGAGTCCTGGGTAGTTCTAAGTGTAGTCGCTGGTATTTCAAGTTCAATGGAAATGAATGCCGTGGACCAATGACTATTGAGGCTGTTGTTTTCAACTACTGGTCATCTGCTGGGGACCATTATCTAAATCATCATCGGTCATTTGAGGGGTACTGTGAGAACATTCCACAAGGCGCTGTTAGAGTCGAATTATGGGTAGGACAGTGTAGTAGTGGCCACGCCTTGGGTGATGCTTATACCGGGTGGTATTCAGTGTCCCGGATAATGATTGAAGAAGTATCTAGACCCCAGTCCTAACAAGGGGAGTCTTTAACTTTAGCGCTGTTTCAATTTCCTTAGAATAGCATTCTACAAATATAGACTGTAAAGCCCTTTGTGGCTACTTCCGTCGCATTAGATGGTCAATCGTAAACTCTTCAAACAGTATCATGATTTTGTATTATTATGTTGACATGTTAGTCATGTGCAGCAGCTCTTTGTTTTGTCACGATGCACTTCTTTAGTTCCTTTGTGGGGAGGCACCTTTCGTGACGACACAATAATCGGCTGATCGAGCTCGTAGGGATTGGTCTCCCGGCCCATGCAGCCGTTTTGTCTTGTAACGTACCACTCCTTCTCGTTGCGTGACGAGAAAAAATGGCTGTGATTGAGAGTGATTGATTGGAAATGATTTTTGTAGATGATATGTTATGGATGCAAAATATGTCACAACAGCTTCAGGGGAACCAATTCACTCTTGGTTTACCATTTATACCATCAGATTGTCGTTCATTTCCTATAAAGATGTAGTCAAAGTAAAGGTCGTGATATAATCTTTCATCTCAGCGAAAAACAAATACGCTGAGGAGGTAACCTTTGCATTTAAAATATTTTCGACTGAAAAATCTTTAATTAAATCCCGAGGTGAAAATGATTTTTTTTAAAATTAAATCGTGCTTTTATTAAATCACACTGCACGATTCCTTTTGTAGCCAAACCGCTTCGAGAAAAGACCATTATTAAAAAGGGATTAGAATTCGAGGATAAAATCGCATCTCGTAAAATTTATATCAATTAGCTAGGAAGATGAATATGATTATAGGATAACTTGATTATCTTTAGCCTGCGTGGAAGGAGTTCGAAATTAGGGAAAGGAAAGGGAGTCTAGGCGCGAGACCGCGCGCGAGGGAGAAGAGAGGAGAGGAAAACTTTCCCTTTCCTCTTTTCTCGCGCGCCCTTAAGTGCTTCTCACGCACCAAAAGCATTCCTTCCCTTCCCTTTCGAATGTCTGCCACAGCGGAAAAAGAGGAATATGTGTTGACTCGTAACATTGAGATTCTTGTCAACAAACCTTCCCATTACTTAAATAGCATCTTTGTTATATTTTTTGCATGTCAGTGCAGTTTGCTTTTATGTGTGATTAAAGCTTTCAATAAAAGACGATCAGTCTAACAGTATCTACAAATCTTTTCCATTATTTTTCCTAACAAATAAGATCGAACTCATTATGTCTGCTCCTTAACAGAGATTTTCCCGCACAGTCTCACAATATTGATTTCAGTATCCAATGCAGCTATTTGCAGACTTGTCTGTTTGATTGCGTTTATAAATAAACACGTACCCAGTTATCAGGGTTTCTTAACCTAGAAAATTCGAGGGGAGGACGTCACAATAATTTGGGTACCTAAATTACCAGTGCTGTATGTCCCGGTAGGGGAAACGGTATGGGTATACCCGGTAGCAGGTACCCATTCATTTGAATGGGAATCAAGTCGTTTTCTCGACTTCTAAATGAACAGAGATAAAAGCAGTTGACCCAATTCACGTGCTTGATGAGTCATCTCCTTTCTGCCCGAGATATAAGTCAAACCGAAAACAAAACTGAATCGTTGGCCAAATTAAAATGTTCCGCTAGCATTACCTTTTGGTATCGCTATACTTTAAGAACACCATTTCATTTTGTTTCGTAGTGAATAGGTACACAACTATCTTTCAAAAAGGGGGCAAATAATGGTGTAGATAACCGCGGCGCAATAAGCGTCGAGGATAGCTAGCGCTATGCACAGACCCTAAAGGGGGGAATACACGGTTTGGCCATTGTCTGTGGCTAGCTAGTTGGGGGTGTGGGGGAGGGTAGGGGCTTATATTCGGGGACACTTAAAATCGCTAAAATCGCATGTAGTTTTTTTGTTTAAAGGTAGATGGGTCTCTAACTGGGGGCCTTATAAGTGGCTAGGAAGGAGCTTATAATCGGCCGTCACGGTATGTCAGTTGTAGTAGCCAAGTTCCCTTAAGGTAATGACAGACTGGGTTCAAGTATTATAAAAAGAGACGTCGTCTTTTGGGTGTTCTCATTTCACGGACTTAGTTGAGTAGAAAATGGGAATGAAGTGTATTAATTAGCAATTAATGAATGAGGCTGAGTGGGATATGAAGAATTAAGCAGATCGAGGAGGGTGTTATTCAAAGAGGCCGAAGGCCGAGGTGGATAACACATTCCGAGATATGCTTAATTCTTCATATCCTACGAAAGCCGACTACGTTAATTGCTTTACTATTCATTCAAAATAATTCCTAGTTTAAAAACATAGCTAAAACATGCTTACCTGCATCGATATTAAGTTCATCTTCGATAGTGTACGTTTAGGTTTGTCCAGCTCCCCAAATATTCTCCAAATAGCAGATGTCGCCCTCCGAGTTGTCTTCTTGTAGTTTTTGCTATGTTTTAGCCATTATTTCGCCTAGTTCCAGCTGTAGTCCTTACTCTTGAAAGGAGTGAAGTGTCCGCCAAAGAAAACAACTCAACCTCGTCCCCAGGTCTTCTAGGTTAACAGTGCATTAATCTGTAGAAGGTTGCCTTTTTGACCTCATTTCCTCGTTAAACACAAAATTCTTCCAAATTTGGTCATCAGTAACTGGTTATGGTGAATTATGCGTGTGCTTTTAGCCAATCAGAATGAGGGAAATATTTTGAATGAATAATAAAAAGTTTTAATCCATTCTCATTTATTTGTTTTGCTATTTTAAGGCTGGTTTACAGGCAGCGATTGTGCGCCCGATTTCCAAAGAAAATATATGGCGATGCAACAGATCATTTTAATCTGTCCGGTTTTTGGCCAGTTTATATCTTTTCTTTTTCTTTCGAAAAATCGTAGCGTGAAAGCCGGCATAAAGCCCGCCCGTTACAAGAGCAAGTTTTCTTCAACATGGAAAACTTCGATCCCCCGCCTTTAAAAAGTTAAAGGGAAGCTCCATTATGTTACGAGCCTCATTATGATATAAGCTCCATTATCTTACGTGCTACTTAACCCACAATTTTGTTATCGCGCGGGAGTGGAAGCTGCCTCTGACATAAACGTCTTACAACGGTATTTTGCAGCAGGTATATTTTGAAAAAGTAGGTTCACGTTCTACATTATATAACGTTTGCTACAGCAAAAATGAAAACGAAGACGATGCCCTCTCTTTTTGACTGACTCTAGATCGTAATAGGCGGGGAGGCTACTCAACACAGTTTTATATGGGGAGGCTTCGCCCCGAGGACTAACCCCTAGCTTAACCCTGCACTTACCATCTTTGACAGAAAAGATACCCTTTTGTATACCTTCTATTGGCCGTATCTAAACTACACTCTAAATCCAAAAGATCTGTTTTGGCCCCAAAAATGGGGCCGTTTCGGTGAGTAAAATACAGTACTATTTTTGGGGCTAAAGTAGCCCATTTAGAATGGAGACGTTTTGGCCCCAATGAACGGGGTAGAAATAGCCCTCTGTTAAGTGGCCACACCGAAGAGGCAAAAGGGCTGTTTTGGAAAAATAGGGAGTAGTTTTGGTTTCTAATAGGGTTGAAGTGGTTCATTTTAAGAGTCAATTCAGCCCTTACAGGGCCGTTTCATACCTTCAGTTAAGATGAAAATTGGCCCATATTTCGTGGCCAATTTGGCCCAATGGGGAGTTAAAACAAATGTACTTTCTATGACTAAATCGGTACCATTATGTCTGAAATGGAATTTCTTACCAGAGCCGTTTTGGACCTTAATTATTTATAACAGCCCATCCACAGGGATTATAATGGTTCTTGGTATTCTATAAAATGACCCCATTTTTGGGCCATTTAGAATCAAGGCCTAACTATAGCCCAAAGGAAAATAAACTTTAGTTCTCCTTCAGGTGCAAGTAAGTTTAAAACTGCTCTTTGAGCCTACAATTAACAGCTATTTACCCTAAAAGTGTTCTAATTTTGTGGTAGATCTAATCTCATTACCTTGCCCTCTCATTTAAAATAAACAAGAGGCATGCTCAGTGCAATGTAAAAATATTTTATTATTATTTTTTAGCAAACTTAACAAAAATTTGGAATGTACATCTCTAACATAACTTTATAAAATACTGCTGGAAGCCCCAATACCAAATTTCATAAAAATAATGTCAGAAAAGTGACTCAGCAGAACCCTGCTAAATTAAAACTCTCAAGGTTGCCAAGAAGTTCATTAGGCTCAAAATAGAGGGGTTGGTGCTGAATTTTAAGCACTACATACAGCTGTAATGATCACAGTAGAAGTGAGTATAACTTCTTAGGAGCCTTTGAGCATTTTAAAGGCATTTTGCTTGAGACGTTTTAACCCCCAAATCGTAAAAGTATGAAAAAGAAGGCAAAAATTTGTTCTGTTAAGTTAGTAGAGCTTTTCTCTATACATTTCACTACTACAAATTGAAAATGCCATTGAAGAGTGTGTTGACACTCGACAAGGTCTGAATGACCTTTATATACCATTACCATGTTAACTATATAAAAATTAATGATGACAGCAAAGAAATTATACTCTCTACAATACTCTGGTGCAGAATGGTGCATAACATTATTCCGTCACACACAAATGTACACTTTGTTGAAATCAAAGGCCTCTTCAATTGCAACAGTTTGCGGTTATATGAAAGTTGCTATTTCTGCATCAACTGAAGCATTTCTCTGTCAAAAAAGCAAGAAAGAACAACATCAACAAGTTGTACACTTACTAACATACAGTTTCCCAAATTAAACTACATGTGGCAATAATAGACAAGATAATTTACATTGACAAAAAGGGAAAAATACTGTTCTTGATAGCGGTGGTTAAGTAGTGTAATACAATGAATGGTTCAGGGTTCTCAATAGAAGGCGGCACCCGGCGATTGATCGCCGCTTACTTTGGGATTTATAGCCGCTTACTTTGTGTTTAAGTCGCTTTTCTTTGCTTTGTTTTGACACCTCTGGCTTTGCTGAAGAGCCTCCTACTTTATCAGTGATCACCTCCTACTTAAAAATCTATTGAGAACCCTGATGGTTATCATCTATCAAGAACTAGAAATGCAAATTTTACATAACTCTGCTAATCATAGGAAGTAACATGGCCACCTAAAATAGAGTTGCAATAATGTACATGTAA